CGTATGGAAATGATGTATCAAGTGAGGCGCGCGTGGGCGTAAAACAGGTTAACTTTGCCGAGCGCCGAGAGAGATAAGTGCGCGCGCGCGGCTGGCAGCAAATCCAAACGATATTTATGAGCTGGCTTCGTCAGCCTTCACCGAATCTTACGACTCGTGCGAAAATTCGACCTGTGCGCGCATGCACGTAAATAGCGGACACTGTCTCTGTCTGCGCGTGTATCATATACATACGTATCATGCGAATTCTACTCGAGCCCGAGTCCGTAGGGTTTTCAGCGGTGAAAGCGTCAAAGACTACCTGAATCGATGAGCGAAGAGTATACACGTAACCGAACGCTTAATTAATCGCATCGCTGAATTCGACCCGTGAGCATCCAGGATTTTTCGCCACGACTTTATCCACGCTTTTTCGCGTATACAGAGTCTCGACGATATAGAATGGACTCGATGGCCGAGTGCAATCGTTAAACTGCAAAATTATAAGAGATTGCTAGCTACACGAAAATGATTGCGTAAAAAGGTAGAAACGAGAAATATTCTCAAAATCTTCTCGCAATCCTTGCACATCCTTTATGGAAATCGCGCAGACCACCGCCTCGCTTGATTGATGGCCATTGTCTCGTCAGACTTCAACTCAAATCGAGTTACAGCTGAAGTTGTGTTACATGAATTACAAAGCAATTGCGGCAATTATAGCACGTGCAGTGGCGAGGCTGCCACCGATGCACGAGGACACTATAATCGCAAAATTTTTACCGAGGTTAATGCAAGAGTCGGCATCTTAATACTTTGGATGAGCACGTAGTGGAGTGAATCAGATAAAACAAGAAGTATGCTTCGAAACTATGCATAAACGAAAAATCAGGTTTGTCATTCATACTGTAAGTTTTTGGCAAATGATACTTAAAAAACGTTATAGGTTACAGATTTATCCTCACATACATTGACATCGTGTTTACTGGTCATAAAAACAGCCTCGAGAGTAACTTGAACGTAACGTTAATATATAAGAACTAACTTAAAACGCGAACAAAAACTAGAACTAAAAACTTCTATTTGAACTTGTTGCATTGACTTTACTTTACTTGTCAAACGGGGCACTAGCTGCACCTCCAGATAAAAGAAAATTGGAGAAATAAAGAAACGTCTACAACAATGCTACACAATTTCTAAGATTTTTTTTTATTTAGAGATTGGACAATAAAAAAGCCTATGATGCATATGATGCAAATTGAGCGTCCCATGTAAACTTGGGTGAGACATTCAATATTATAGGAGGTACCATCGATTATGCAAAGTTTATAATATGTAACTTAAGTTAACAATGTTTCTTATAACAATTTTATGGGTACGTAATTCTACTATAAAGACGTATAAAGTGTGAAATCACCAAGAACTGCCCAAGAAATGCAGTAAAGCCAGTATCAAGTAACACATCAAAACTACTCGACAACGCGCAAACATTATATTTTGTTCGATAACAAAGAAGGTTAGAGAAAAATGGTTTTTTTACCTTAGGTAGATAATGAATGCACCGAAGTTTGCTCTATCAATAGGACGAAATTCCGATACGAAGACAAAACTAGTACTACATAGCTCTGTATTGTTTCACATTTACGCGAAAATGATTCTTTAGACTTTTGAGTGGACGGAATGAGGCACACCCGCCATTATTATCGAGCGTCGACTCTTGCAACTACAGTTGAGTAACGGCTACTGCAAACTGAATGCCCAGTGATCAATACTGAAATGCACTAATAGCGAACTTTACGGTTTCGTATAGAATTTAATAAATAAGTACGAATATAAAAAAGACATACGTTGCAAATCGACTGTACGTTAATTGTTTTGAAGACTTCGGTGAGCAAGTTTTTGTGAAGTTTACCTATGACGATCAAAACGTAAAATAGCATGAGAAACAAACAGGGCGTTACCTTTTTAATTCTTAATTATTATGTAAATACATGACTTCAATGACGGAAAAAAGGTATGAAAACAGTTTTTAGGGATACAGATACATAACTAACCTCTATGTCCCGAACCATGGTGAAATGTCTTTCGACGAACGGTCCGAGCGGCGGTTACCTTCGTCCTCCGATATCATAATTAATTCTTTCGATTCAATCATACTTTATGATGTAAAAAATACACTTCGCCATTAAATTTAAACAACGTCTCGAACAACGTTTTAACAAGATTCTACATTCTCTAAGTTGCAATTAGCAGTTCAAGTTTTACCGACTTCTACGATCACAAATACCTAACCGTATTGTATCGACTATTAGTTATTTGTTACTGTATGAACACAAATTTAGATGTTTCAATAATTTACACTTTTCCATTATTCAAATAACTTCAAATAATATTAAATCGTTCCTCTCCTCATTGAGTACAATTTAACTCGCATTGGCGAGACGGTTAAAAAATTGTTGATTCATTTGTGATTTCGAATGAAACGGCGTTCGAATCAACCGCTATGCGTATGAAACATTTTGTCTTCGCTTCATTTTTATCGTGGTACTTAATCCATAAGTTTATTGATAACATTAAGTTTTAAATTAATCTACTTAGAAACTTGATTTATTGTTAGTAATTTTATTCTTTTTTAAGCTGCAAAAAAGGATCTGGAAGATTGAAAAATACTGGATAAAAATTTCGTTCAAAAAATGTCTAACAATGATACAATTTTACAAGATGCTTTTGTGATTGGGTTCCGGTATCCAAATCAAAGAACTGACGATAGCTACTTCAGTATGCAAGTAAGTTGATAAAATTATTCTACGTGTTAAAAACGGAATTTCTATTAAAAATGATTTTCAATTGAATTTCTAAATTTCAGGAATTTGTATAAAAATATCCAAAAAGAAGTAGATGAAAGAGGACTTCATTGTACTTTCATATCACATCCATTGAGAACAAATCCAAATAAATTAATAGATTCTTTAAGAATGAAGCCATACCTTCAAATTTTATTTGTTGGACTTCCTCGAATGAAGCCATACCTTCAAATTTTATTTGTTGGATCAAACGTGGATGGATGAAACTCTTATGAACAGTTTTGTACCAGGTGATGCACAAGGTATTATTGGAATGTTTATTCTAAAAGCAGCTGGCACTCATATTAAAATAATTAGTGGATTAGATTCCTTGACGGCTACATATATATCTTGCGAATATTCTACTACAAAAAGATTGTGACTTGACCTCGCAAGTGTAAATATCAAGAAAATGAAGACATTAAGAAATGTTATTCATGAATTAGGAACTGATGAAAGTGAGACTAAAATAAATATACTTTTTTACTGGAATAGGAATTCATGTACATTTGCAGCATTAATTCAAATACTTAGACGTATAAAAAAAAAGTAAAAATTTATTCTATTAATTGTATGTGATTTGAACCTACAATCAATTTTACATGAAAGAAACAATTTTGTTTATAGGTTCAGACAAAATTGTTGACATCATGGGGTGGTGTTTTTAATGTATTCTTGGTTGATTCTCAAACATCCCTGGTTGCTACAAGCATATCTCGACAAAATTTATCATCTTGGTCAACAAAAATTGATAAAAGTAATGTAAAACTACAAGTTACAAGTCGCTTAGTTATTAAATTTTAAGAAAGTATCGGCTCACTATGTATACCATTTAGTCCAGTTAATCCTAATAATAAAACAGTGAATAATAGCTATAAGAATGTGGTGCCTAAGGTACCACAAATTCCGTTCATAGCTATTTGTGGATCTTATCAGTTTGGAATAGATTCATCAAGTGATTGTAAGTTACTAGAAATACAAATTTTCACTTTTGTGCTCAATTAAATTCAATAAAATTTAAAAAAAAAAACATTCTTTTTTTTTACAGCTCATAAAGATTTGTACTACACTACATCAATGTCATTATTAATTATAATTTACAATGACAAAAAGATCCTGTTATATTGACACCATAAAAGGTATTTCTTATATAATTATAATTTTACATGATGAGATTTAAAGAATTCTAGTTTTTAACAGAGTTTTCAATTGGAATTACTATATTTTTCAATTCTTACACAAAGCTAATTTATTTATAATTTCAACATTCTATAAGTATCCGTATATGTGTTAGAATGTTGCTATTATTTGAGTATGAATGTAAGTTCATTGAAGTTATTGAAAAACAGTGGCTCATAAAATATGGAATGGTGCAAGTTCATTATAGAAAAAAGCTATTGAAGCGTTGTTTGATCCAGTGTATTGCTATTAGAATACAATTACACCAAAATAGGAGTGAAACATCTCTTGAAGTTGCTATTGAAAAGCGAAATATCAGGCATGGTAAAACAATCATCAATTAGATTCACATCCTCACTGCGCTTCGAGCGCGTGAATTTGCTCTGTGTGAATCACCAAAACATGCAGATTGTTGCTTTGTTCGTCATGCATCCTCCATTGTCTTCTCTTTTTTTTTTGTTCCGAGTACTACTTTAAACTCACCTTGATATTTACTGTTATTAATGCAGCCAGAGTCAACCTATGGAATTAAATTGTTGAATATTTTCATGGTTGAGTTACAGTTGCAGTAACTTCAGTTACGTACTTTAGAACTCATACCAATTAGTTATTTTTCAGATGTCCAATATGATGGAGTTATATTTTTTAAATTTCAGTGAAACTGTATGCAATGTAAACTTATTACTGTGGTACTAATTAAATATTTTGCATTGTAATACTTTTTGATAACTCGAATCGGTTCAAGAAAATTGAATAACTCACGAACATAGCAAAATGGGTGCATAAATATATAGTTTATTAATTTTATGTGAGAAATTATTTTACGTTATTTCCCGAATCGCATTGCAATTTTTAGATTAAAAAAACATTACTCAATTGTGTTTAGACTCAAATAAATAAGATATTTTTGCCACAGCAATTCTGAAAAAATATCATAGTTTCTCTATGAAGGAAAAATATAGGAATAGGTAATGAAATATATTCGTTGTAACTCAATTTATTCGTTCTACGATTTGGCGAATTTTTTATTGGTCTATTATCGCAGAGGAAAAATCCATAAAAAATTGTTTGTCTGCTTCGCATGAATTACAAAATTTTGTTGGTTGATGGTTTAACAATAAGCCAACTGTTGTATACATTTTTATCATTTAAATCCATAAATTTTTTTTGGGTATAAAATGAAAACTTACTTTAGAACGTAGTAAGCGATAACAATAGTCATTGGTATTCGTCATTATACGAAATACTTTGATAGCAAAAGTGAATCATTATTCCATTAGAATAACGAAATTTTCGCGTTCGTTTGTCCCGAAAAATTCAATATACAACAAAGTGTGGCTGAATAACATAAATTTCTTAAAAATTTTCTAGCGTCCATCATGTTCAAACATACACTCATTTAGGTAATTAAAATATATATTCTATATAATATATTCATTTGTATTCGTGATATTCTATTTTTTCATTTATTTATAGATAATATATTCGCTATTATATAATATTATATTTCTAAAAATAGTGAGAGTAAAGATACTTATTATAACTACAAAAATAATGATAATAATGATACTGATGATATTAATAATTACTTCAGTAATAGTTTTTAATTAGAACTGTTGTAAATTGAAGCTATGTACAAAGCACGACTGCAGTCTCATTTCGTTGTAAGATTCGAAAGGATTGAAAAAAAAACGCGAATAGATGTTTCACATCAAAAACAAGTTAAATCACGAATGAAGCAATCGTTAAAGAGACATATATAGTTAAGTACAAAAAGGAAATAATGATAAAATTCTAATGAAAATGTACAATGTTGATTGCAAAGCGCCCAAAAGTTTTGGAAAGCTAAAAAGGCCGACTCTCGACGCGAGAAAATCGAGAGGCCGCAGCCATCGCTTCGCTAAATAGGCCCATGACCCGATAGGCCGCGTACACGTGTATAATATATAACATATATTACTTTTGCCTCGAACGATGCGTGACGCAATAATCATCTCGATATATATTTCCTCGTACTCACAAATACTTACAACACTATATACGCACTCAGACACATAATACATATATTCACACACGTAACGAGACAAGGAAATTTTGCACGGCGCCGTACAGTATACAAGGTAGTTTTGCTGCGGTCGTTTGCTCCGCGATCGACGAATCGGCGTGCGTGGAAGCGTCGAGCGTCGAACGTCGAGAGCACCCGATGTGCCGAATTACGAAGCGCAAAGCTGCTGCGGCCGTCGCACACACGCGTCGTTCTTCTCGATCACCCATCGCTGCTCGGCGCTCTCGAGCCAAGATTGCCCAGGCCGACGTTGTTAGCCCTCGTGAATTACTGCACACTGCACACGATGCACCGCACGTGCGGAAGGAGCAGCAGCAGCAGCAGGAGAGGCAGACGCGCGTGCTCGCAAGCCACCGATGTAAGGCACGCATGCAATCGAGCGGAGAGCGAGAGAGAGAGAGAGAGAGAGTAAAAGAGAGAAGAGGCTCCTCGCTTCGGTGTCGCCGGCGGCTTCTGGGCGTGTCCCGTCGGTAATCCGGTGTTGCGAATCACTTTGCGCGTGCCACGGTAGCTCTTCTCACTCTCGCCTCCCTCCAGCAATGTAAATTGTCCGATTCCTTCGTAAGGGCCTCTTCACAGGACTACTCTTGGCTCACGTGAGCTCCTCTCGTTGTTTCTTTTCTCTCTGGAGATTCGCCGCCGCTCGCCTGGGCTATAATGCGCCGCTGAGCTTTTGTCTCGGTGCATCGTCGCTAGATCGTCGGGCCGATGCAATGCGCTCGGGGATGTGTATGATGTTGTTGTTGATGTTGTTGTTGTTGTAGTTGTAGTTGTTGTTGTTTATCGTGACATGACGATGAGCATAGGAGGCGAGGGGGTAGTTTAGCAAGAATTTGAGAGTCCATGCCGAGCCAAAGCGTCGAGGAGTGTCGCGCGACTAAAAGCCAGCGTTCTAGGCCGAGACTGCACAATATGATAGACACACAAGGGAAGAGAATGAGGGAGTCGAAGGAGAAAAGGGGACTGCTGGACTAGCGAGGAAGCGGGATTCGGCCGGTCGGCGCTCGGGTCGACCGGCCCTGGTACCCCTAAGTCTTGAATATTATACTCGGTAAGTGCATGCGCGACGTTCTCGAGCGCGCAGGCGTCTCGATCGCTCGCGCTTTTTTTCGCCCGCGCTGTTGTGGCGTACTTGCGGAAAAAGCGCGAGGATCGAGACGCGCGTGGCGAATACAACTCTAGCCCGCGAGCGAACATCACTGTATTTTTATTACGTACACTTATTTTTTTTTTTACATAAATATACACCCACGCGCACGCGAGACTCGATGCCCTCGCAACGACGCGCGAGCTCTGATTTATGACAAGACAAAAATTATCTACAAATTACTTTGAAGGATCGAGGGGGGAGGCGGTAGATTTCATGGGATTAATCGGGAGGAGACACTGCCGTGTCGGCCGGATGGCTTCTAGTACCTAGAGTAGCCACTCGAATAGCCATTTGAATAGCCGTTGGAACCCTTGTAAGGAACGGAGTGTATGCTCCTGGAACAAATATTGTGACAAAACGACAGGTGAGATAAGGCCTTTTACAAGCTCTGGCATTTTATGTAATTCTCCTTTATTGCGTATAGATATTGAAGAAATGATAGCATAATTTTGTGAGTATAGCTTAGTTGGAAAAATGAAAGTGCATTAGTTGAAAATATTCAGTCCCTCGAAGATGAATGAATGGTGAACATAAACGTGATTAAATTATGGAATCGTGGATCGGCTCGATGATAAAATTCTGCAACTGCTCTCGAGCGTTCATTCATTACTTTATAGAGAGAGACCAAGCTTTGCTCGCTAAACTTTCTCTGTGAAGCGTGTAAAAACTTGGCCTATGCTTAAACAATCAACAGTCAAATGTATTAATGTCACAGCGATCAAATCGCTATCGAAACGAGAGTACGCTCGACGAAGCAGTTGCAGCTCTTTTCCACGTCCACGCTCCAGCGTCGGCTTTCGATTCTCTGCAATAAACATTGCGCACTCGTACCTAAATATATTTATATTTGTATATATGCAAGCGTGTATGGCTTTAGCGCAAAGCAGCAACGGAACGCGTTTAGTTGAGAAATCAAGTTGGTTAGTGGCATGCGGGGCGATCGAACGTACTAGCAGCAATCGTACGCAAGTGTGCGTGTACAGCGGGGAATTGCGGGTACCGAGGCATGAAGCGTATAACGTCGTATCTGCATAAACCAGGCGGTCAAGTGAACCGAAAAGTCCGCTGGCTCCGATGTAAATTGTGCCAATCGATGCATGCGCGCGGTCATCGTCGTGCTTTCAAGCGATCGCGATTAAAGCTCGCGGCACTGCAAAATGAATGAAAAAAGAAAAAGCGCGCGGATCGGTGCTAAGTGCATAACAACAAGCAGCAGCGCGTAATGAGTGCAGAGACAACATGCGGATGACATTGTGTGTATGTTGTGATGTGTGATGGACAATATTGGGGCGGATGCGATTTACGGATGAGAGTTGCAACAAGTTACACAAGTGAAAAAAAAAAGAACTGTGGTCGGCGTTCGCTCGAGCTTCGTCGACTCGAGTGCACTTAATAGATCGTAATATTTCGTGTGTACTTTAATCTAGCGTGTGTGCAGGCTCTCTGCGGCTCGAGAGAGTACCTGAGATCGCGTAGAGAGAGAGAGAGATCGAATCGGTGGTGCCGGGCAGGAGGTCAGTGCGAACAACGAGCTCCCGCTCACCGCCACCCACATCTACAACAGAACAGAAACAAAAAACAAGAGCAGGGCAAATTAGAAAAAATAGAGCTTGCTGCGTATCCATTAGTATAAACATCAGTGGGGTGGTGATCTCTCTGTGCGTGCGCATGAGGCACCACGGCGTACACGCGCCAAATTGACCATATCCTGTATAGGTGCGCTCGCTTCGTGCGTGCCGATCGCGTGTGTTACATACTATACGAAAGAGAAAGAGAGAGAGAGAAAGAGCAAAGGCATGACGCATTATATGCAAGCAAACTCGCTCGCTTCGTTCACACCGTCTCTCGACTCGAGTCCGCCTCGTGCGCGCGTGTGAGTCGCGAGAAGCGAGTTCACCTGTTGATCGTGCGCGCGGCCACGATCCTTTAAATGCGAGACTCGACGAGTTACTCCCGTGATTTGTAGGCCGAGCAAAGTATTATCATTAACTAGATGCTGCCAAGCGTTCGTAATGCAGCGTAATGCCCCCGGCGGCTACGGAGAGATTCGCCGTTGGTGCTCTTGCGATCAATTTTCGGACCATTTTCTCACCAAGCACTTTTTCGTACATCTATACACTAGCCCGAATAATCTGCCTCGTTGCGGAGAGTAAATATAAATAAAGTTACACGCTACATGCGCATTATTTTTTTTTTCGATTAAATACGCTTGCATTGATTCAAACGTGATTACAATTTTTTACTCGATAGCAGCGGTAGTTTTGCATCGCATGAAATTGCCTTAATAACTGTAGTAATTGCTTGAATGAGCCACGATCGATATTATCGAATAGTCGACATGTTTGAAAAAAATATTTTTTCATATTCGTTCGATCATTGATAATTATTCAAATACAAATCAAAATTATTTGATGTATCCAAAATTATTCGAATCGCATATCAACTTCACCGTAGTTATAAAGTGCAATTTTTGAAATTGATTCATTAATTTTTTCATTTCTTTCGAGCCATGAGTAAACATACAACCGCGTAATGCAATTAAATAATTTGTTTGCACGATCCTATGACGTGATCACGCATAATCAAATCTAATTACATACTAGTGAGGTTTTTTTTATGTCCTTACGCTTATTAATCCAGGATACTTTAATGCAACATTTTGCTTCGACTAGACCGTCAATGCAAGGTTTAAAAAGATTCATCCTGTAAATGATCAATGCAATTTCCCGTAAAAATTGTTGTTCAATAACTTTTTTATACTTGAATCAAACTTGAACATTCAAACAGTGCATGACGTAATTTACAAAATCATCCGATATTTCGGTCAGAATAAACGAAAAAAATAAGTCATCTATTAATTTTTTATTTTTTTACTCATCATTCGATGTTTTGGAAAAATTTCCATTCTGTTTTTGACACAAAGTACCGAGTTGAATGTACCGAAAATAAATTTACCAATTGTCTAAGTTTATTTCGCAAAATAGACGTTCAAATTGAATCCAGTGGAACGGACCAAATTTGGCTGGCGTCAAAATTACAAATAGAGCTCGTATAATACACGCAAAATTCACGACTTTATTGGTTTTGTGCAGACATTAAAGAGCCCAGGCGGCAGTAGTCACTGTTCAAAGTTGCCACTTTTAATTGTCCGACAATCATATTCCGCGAAAAAAAAACGAAGAAGAATGCGTACATGCAATATTGCGAAAAGAAGTTGAAACCCGGTTATTCTCTCGCTCGCTCGAGCTGTGTGTCGCGGATGGAAAATAATAACTATTGATCATACGCACGGTGCACATTGTCGTGCACTTCCTTCGGCTGCTCGCGCTTTTGCATGAGTAAAATATGCACAAGGTTACATTACGAGCAGAGAATCGAGCTGCACCGGCGAATCGGTCGTCGTCGAGCGTTGCCTATACGACAATTTCCTCTCGCGCGTACTCGTTCAGCGACGCGCTCGCGTTCCACCGAGATTCGACCGGTAGAGACTTTTTTTGTTGCTCGCATGCAAATGGCCAACAAAAACCGATGGGCCGCCGCGAAAAGTTAAGTAGCAGTAAAGAGGAGCGAAGAAACAAAAGGTGGATTATTGCCTCGTAGACAGAGAGGCGCTAGCTATAATAGATGTTAGCTAAAAGTCTGGAGAAGTGATGATATTTCATTCGAACTCATTCTTACCTGTGTTGTTTGAGGTTGTCCTGTCGTTTGAAGGATTTTCCGCAGACCTCGCAGGTAAATGTCACGTCGTCCTTGTGGCTGCGCTCGTGGATCATGAGGTTGTAGGGTTTGGTGAAGCGCCGCTGGCAGTACTTGCAGACGAACTCCACGGTGCACTTGGCGCGCATCTTCTGTCGACGGCCGAACTCCCGGCCGTGACCTTCCGTCTCCATGGGCATTATCGCGAACATCTTGGCGAATGTTTTTCCTTCTCGGTTGCCTCGAAAAATCGAATCGATCGGATTCCCGATTCGCTACTGAATCAGCGCGCACCGTCGCTGTCTGTCCGATGCTCGATGACGATACGCTCGTCCGTTAGATCGCTCACTGTCGCTCTGACAAGACCTGTCAACACGATCAAATTTTCATTTCTTTCAATTCATACGCTATACAATAAGCTTTTTGCCATCGTTTACAACCACTTTCAAGTGCGTTCGCTCTTTGTCGTCAAATACAGTCCATAAATAAATACGCATTGCGCGTTCCAACGAGTGGCTGTAATTTCGATTTCAGAGAGATGCCTTGAAAATAATTTTATGGAAAAAACAACCCATACTCGCACGCACACTCGCACGCAGCGATAAACAATACATCTTTCTTATTGTGCACAATAACGAGTTGGCAACGAGGTACGGGTCCCCATAAACGTTGGTCGAATAGACAAATGCTCGCGCTAGAAGGTGAACCGAGGAAACCGCTATTAATCAGATGCGGCATCCAAGTCCAATATTTGCACACAAAATGCAAACGAGACGCGCGAAGCCGAGAGACAAAGAGACCCTGAATGGGCTATGCTGCGCGAATGTTATAAATTCCGCCCATTATCTCACCGCGGGTGGCTCGCTCGTTATAATATCAGCTCCGACTGCCGGGAAATCGATCTTTTTATGAACTCGCCAAATACCAAATTAATGTGTCACTATTTCGTACCTGCAGCTTTTTCTTTCTTTTTCGACAAAAGTTAATCTTCCTGCAAAGCAATACAAGTATACTAGTATCTTTTTGTTCAAAAAACTGTGTGTGCTTCTGCACCAGGTATGCAAGAGCGTTGAAATTTTGATTTATATTTTTGACAAAAAAATATGTTCTCGGCTTCATTATTTTATTTATTCGAAAGTAGTTGACGAGCATTAAATGAAGATGTTAATCGTTAAGTATAACTCTAGTTAAAAATATTAGATAATAAAATCAAGCAAACTTTATGAATCGTTTCGAACGATGTAATTATATTTTTGAGAATGCGCTCGCGTCGATGCGAGTAAAAAACTAGAAGCAAAACGAAACGGCGACGCCATCAAAAGGCATTTTGCTCAACTTTTATTACATCGACAATAACGCAGTGTAAAGGTGCCACAACTGTTGAACGCACAAAGCCACGAGCCCTCGACGAAAATTTCTTTGAGCTATGTTAGTTTAAAATTCACGTATAATGGACTGGCGACGAAAGATCGAGACTCGTCAGGATGTCACAAAAGAAGCGCATGCATCATTCGTCGGAGAGGACTCAACAAAGTGAGTAGCGCGTGCAGTGGCTACTGTGTGCGGTTGGTGAACAACAAAGCAGATGTACTCGACGAGAGACTACCCAAGACACATACGAAGTTGCCTCGCCATTTTGCAGCTGCTTTTTTTATTTTATTTATCTTAATGCAGCTTCTGCAAGTGCGTTTCCTCTTTGCGTTTATGCTTTTCAACTCGGCTAGGAATGCCTGCAAAGTTGCCTACGTTATGCATCTATGTATGTACGATGCGTAAGTAATGGCACGATCCGCACGATTAGAAAGTTTTTCATGGGCAATTATTGCAAGTCGGTTTGTTTCGATCGATTAACGCATCGACGGCTCGCTGGCTCGTCGTGCCCGACGTTGCGGCCGCGAGTCTTGTCACACTCGATTCGCTCGACTCTGGCGGCTAACTGCTTCTGACGTATGGCAATCCAGGTCTCCGCGCGTGGCGGGCTCGACTACACGTTCATACCGCATCGTCGCGAAGCTCACTGTTGGCTCGACTCGCGGCGCGATTATCGATCAACGGGAAGAAATTAGCCAGGGCACGCGCGTGAAATTACGGCCGCACAGAGCCCAGGCACGCAGCGAGTCGGGGAAAAAAAATAAAACGATCCGAGCCGATCGCGAATCAAAGGGCTCGAGCAAGCGCGCAAGGGCCTCGCCGAGCGAATGTGGAAGGGAGCCGTGCACAACGGCTGCTATACTGCTACTGCTGCTGCCACCGACTATATAGGTACGCGTATCGCCAGTAGCGCAGCGAAATGCGTACGCGTGCACTGAAAGGGGGAGCAATCGGGCCAACCGGTAGCTTCCGTATAGCTACTGTGCACGCCCTGCGAGTCCGTGAGTGTTTGTTTGCGTTAGAAGCTGCTCGTGGCTACCGGTTTTTCAGCCACTACTCGAGCCACCTGTTGGGCCACACCCTTTTAATGCGCGAATCCGCTCGATCGTTCAGTCACTCGCGCTCCAAATTACAAAATAATGCGCACATCCATTCGTACGAAGATTAAATGTCCTCAGCGCTACTTACGAGTCTTACGAGCGTCGATTCTTTTCTCCTTGCCTCCTGAGATAATCCAGCAATGAGATAATTGCGTGTGGCTAAAACTGACACTCGATTAGCGCAAATTTAGATTGGACTCCGAGCAGCGGAGTCGTGTCCAATCGAGCGCAGCTGTGCGAGCAAACTTGTGGAAACTTGAAGCACACTTGCAGCTTTCAACACTAGTTCACCACTCAATCGACCAATTTCAGTCAATTGACACGAATTCACGTTGCAATATTTTTGCGATAAAACCGTTGGCAAAGCAAACCGAATGCAAAACTGTGAACGAGAACTGTGACAACTCGAGCAGTTGTTTGTTGGGTGTGTGCGAATTGTACGCAAGAGGGTCTGGTCCGTATGGAAGCGCGGCGTCGACTGAATAAAACGTCGGCTGACCGGTGCCAGAATACTTGGTAGCAGTGGCAGTGGCAGCGGCAACGGCAGCAGCAGCAGCAGCGGCAGAAGCAGGAGCAGTATAGCAGCAGCAGCAGCAGCAGAGCAGTTGAATAGTAGTAGTTGAACCGTCGGACGGTAGGTCGTAGAGTAGTAAGCCACTACCTTAGTGCTCAAAATCGTTGTGTCTGTCTGGCGCTTCGTCTCCCGCTGTCTCGGTCTCGCGTCTTCTGGTTGGAGGACTGCCGGGGACCTCCCTACCGAACTCGAGCTCCACGCGCTACGTACTTCGATGGCTCTCGACGCTCTCGTATAGCACGCGCTCTCTTTCTCTCTCTCTCTCTCTCTCTCTCTCTTTCTTGCTCGGCTCTGCGGAGGAGCACCCGTGCGCGGCGGGGCAGCGAGGCGCGCACGATTCACCAACAGCCACCGCCGGTATAAAGCGCTGCCGCCACCGCCACCGTCGCCGCCACCGCACCGGCCCGAGAACTGACTCTCCCGCGAGCTACTACCCGTTCTTCGCCTACTCGACGCGGACGAGCGAAAAACGACAGGACTCTGCTATTCGCGAGAGCGGCAGCGAGTCCATGTGTGTGTGAGAGAGAGAGAGAGAGAGAGAGAGAGAAAGAGAGAGGGAGCGAGCGGTAGCGTTTGCCTCGCTTCCAAGAGAGAGAGAACGTACAACGACTCGGAGCTCGCTTCTCTCGATGTCCCCACGCACACACACACTCGTATAGCACAACGACGTGCTTTCTCGCGAATACTGCGTGTATATAAATACGATATATATACAGGCTGTGGCATCCTTCCGCGCCTTACGCACACACACAGATAATGTATACACCGAACGACGTGAAACGCGCCGTAACAGGCACAGGCAAAAAATTAGAGAAAGTCACTACCTGATCTGTTCCGCAATCAGCTCCCAGTTTTACCTTTTCGAAATTCCCCCTCAACTACCGTGGCTCAATTACAAAAGTTAAACATCCATACGGAGCTGCCTCCTTTTTTATTGCGCCAACTCATCCTTTATTTGCGCGCTGTAGTTGTTTATTTACCTCGTTTTACCTTGCTTTGTCGAGGTAGAGTAAGGCATTATACTGGTAATCATGAGCTCATTCAAATGCACAAACAGAGCGAGAGTAATTGATAATCGCAACATTTTAGCATGGAAAGGTAAAATTACAAAGGAACTTTCTTTACTATTGGTTTGTTTGCAAGTAAAATGCAGTATGAGATGCGCGGGTGCACGATAACTATATAGATGGCGAGAGAGAGAGAGAGAGAGAGAGAGAGAGAGAAAGAGAGAAAAAAAGCGATAGAGTACCCAAGCGAAGGAACGCGCGGGGGCCGGCACACCAAGGCTCGCAGATCGCCGGAAGGGTTCTCAGGGCACGTGGGAAATGCACAGTAGTCGGTGTCGAGTGCCCCTACCACGAGGAGAGCGACTTCCCCCCTCGCGCGGCCTCGGCGACTCGAGTCACCGAAAGTGGCGCCCACGCCTGATTTGCGGCCCACCCATCGGTCCGCAGACTCCACCTCCGCGTAAGCGCTATTGGCCCCCGCGCAGACCATTCAAGTCGATAGTCACGCGCGAGTGTGTTGCGCCCGCACGCACGCAATGCCTCCGTGACACTGAGTCGACCGCGAGCCGACTCGTCGTCGTCGTCGTCGTCGTCGCCGTACGCTGTGTCAAGTTATTCTTCTCGATTTTTTCCTTATTATCGTCACGACGCACCCGCTGTTCAGGCAGCTAACAACCCTCCGGCTGATCTCAGAATCCAGCACATCTGTGCAACTATCTCTCTGCAGCGACTTTTTTCTTTGCCAATTATTTGCATTCGCGAGGATTCGCGACCGTGATGAACCGCCTCTGCTGCCGCCGCCACTGCTGCTGCTGCTGCTGCTGCCGCTGCTCATGCTATTATTTCTCATGTAAATTCTTCGGGTCAACTCTTCCTCTTTCTTCCTCTTCATGCCATTCTCATGTGCATCATCATCATCCGATTCTATCCAATTCGATTTTTTCATCCGTCAATGATAGGCGCGTCTTCATAAATACAATAATTGCATTATTTAAATTCTCAGTATAATCTTCCATACAAATATTTTACAATAATGTAATCTATTTGGAATGGAAAATTTGATTACGTTATCGACTTGATATTAATTGATTCACTTTCTTGAGACAATATTTTTATCTAATTTCCCACTAAGATATCCCTAAACATATTAATCACAAATTTTTGTCACAGCTCCTATTATGCTAAATAAATAATACCTGCCACCAATTCATGTGTATTTTCCATGTGAACAAATAATGAATTCGATTTAATGCGTCAAAATTATGAAATAATTAGACATCATATCCTTTAAATACAAATGCTCTAGTTCACGAGCTTATCAGCCTTTCCATTACAAACATTTAAAATACTTACACTTTTTTTATTTATAAAACTATAATAAAATAAAAAATATTAACAAAAATTATTTTGTACTTTTACTTTCAAAAGTTGATATGACATATATTAAAAAACTTCCTTTTTTGTAAAAGGAGGAAAATTAAAAATAAGGTTTGGAAATTCTTTCCCCACTAATCTAAAAATTCACGATTACCTCACTTTTCTCTGTTTCTTGAACTTTTATTAACTATTAAACGCAAATGATTGAACGATTCGATTATACCTAACTTTAAATATACCAGGGATGTAGAAAAATGTGGCAAAGTGTAAAAATGTCTTCTTAATTAGAATATTATCGATAAAAAAGAAAATGATTGCGGGTTGCAAGCTTTTGATGGGCTATGACAGATAATCTCTTTAATTTAATAAAAATTATAAATTGTTACTAACGCTTGATTGAAAAAAATGTAACTATTGTGTTGTTGTCGCTATTTTTCGCATTTTTATGTTTAAAAAGTGCATCAAAGTACCGTTGCGGACATTTTATTCCATTTGCTATGCCTTACGACTGAAACTAACTGTCAACGCATCATCATAGCGTATCTATGATAATCCAAGTTTTTTTTTTTTTAATGTTAATGTGAATTTTTGGGATAATGACAATATCCATTCAAGTATACAGCAAAAATTATTCAAATACTGTCACAAACACGAGCGAAGTTTTTGATATCTAGATATTTATTGTCCACCTTTGTTTCAATATTTAAGATTATAAAGTTATTAAGAAACATCCATTGATTTCTCAGAAAACATGTTTGAAAATTTGTATTTTTATCCTGACATCGACATGTCCAAAAAAACTATTTGTTCAAGCTTCTTTTGTGGATGAGTTAGATAAAAAAAATAAATGTATTAAATCTTACGCACGATTAAACCTTTAGCAATTCAATTCTGCAGTAAGTTTTCATGTAATACGCTGAAGTTCTTTTTTAGATTCTCAAGTATAAATAAGTTTTTATATATTTGAGTCACACATGCATTCGCAATGACGAAATTCAGATAAAAACATAAAACGATCGCACAAAATATCGTGGCGCACCATCGATACCATAATATTCATATAACTATTTTATGCCGCATTTTTAATGCCCTATTATCAGCTTTAATTGCATACCTGAAAGATTTTATAGATGCATATAGCTGTCTCGTCTTTGGAGATAGTTTTCGTGTAGTGATTCACTTATTACATCGGATAATATTGATATCGATTAATGTTGATCAAACATGATATTGATGACTCAAACTTATTAGAGTGTTTCAAACATTTTTGAAAGTATAGCGTTTGTTCTAATTTTTGCTTATTAATAAATATTAATATTAATATTAATATCAAACGTATAAAAATATCTGATCAAACGAACAATTTTTATCAGAATATATCATTTAAATACCGAATTTAAATTTGATCATATTTAAATGGAGGTCATTTAAAATTTTGCGACGTTGAGCAAGACCTTTTGGGGTTGCTACGAAAAAACATAATATAATTAAATTTAAATGAATGAAAAAAACCATGTTTCTCGTTATAAAATTAGAGAAAACTTAACATCGAAATAATGCTCTTGATGTTTTAAAAGGTTTTTTTCTACAACTTTTTATTGTATTTTTTATATTCCAAATTTTTATTAAGTATTAAGATACAGAATTCTATGGTTCTTTTTTAGTAACTTTAAGGGTTAACTTTTTTTATTTAGTTGCGTTTACTGTTGTTTTACTTTTTTCAAAAATGCTCACTTCACACTTCAAAAATGCGACTAGGTGGTATAAATTTCTTTGGAATATGAATGGTTATGGTCGCAACCTCGTCTGAGAACCTAGGAGCTTCTTGGCATAAAACATAACAACTAACGCAATAACAAATTTTTGAAAAATCATCTACGATTATAAGATTATGAAATGTGTTTCTCATACCGGTATCCCGAAAGTGACTATTTCCCTCCCGTAAAGTAGGAATAGTTTATGTAGATTACATTTAAACTTTTTCATTCGAACCACTTACAATTCCTTTTAATATTATAAAAATTTCAAATATTTGTATCAAAAATAATTAAAGGTAATTATTAGGGTGGAGCGGAGTAGGCGAAAAATTTTAGATCACTTTGGAATAGTGTTCAAAGTTTATCTTTTACACAAACAAAACAACAGCCGTTCGCTAGACGTTGGCAAATGATATTTTCTACTGCAACCAGAACGTCAAACTCCGTTTTTTCGTATTTTTTCGTTTTTCTCGAATAAAAATTGAACTTTAAGCCAAATAAACGAAATAAAACGTACCGGACCCTTATAAATTGATTCAGCCTTTTTTAAAATACAATAACAATCAGTTTTGATTGTTATAGTTACTCCTAAAAACTCTTGTGTTACTGGTATAGCCCCAGTAACGACGATTTTTCGACTTTTTTTGCGATTTTTTGTGCATTTTCGATATCGTCCCGAATGCGTAATCTGTAATAAAAAACAAGTCTGAGACCGGTAATCGCTTTGTCAAGAAGTACACTTTGAAGGTACAAATGCTCATTTTGATCGAGCTATCTACTTATAAAAAAGAGAACGGCCGAAAAGTGAAGCCGTGTAAAACGACCTCTGATTGGCTGACACTGACGACGACGCACGACGCGAGCCGACTCTATACGAGAGCCTGTGCTGCTAACTGTCAACAGACAGTTAGT